CGCCTCATTAAGTGGGCAAAGTCAGGATGTAAAATGTAAGCAGGATCACAATCGACCACAAATAGGGCTTAGTATTCGTCGAACTTTTCCTAAACAATGTCTTTATACTCTGGTGATATCATGACAGTTCTCTCACATGACAATAGTAAGCTCAATATGCATTCATTAGAATCACAGGAAAGTATGCTAAAAGCAACCGTCACAATATCATGGCGATCTTTCTTTGGTTTCTGGTACGGCCGTATTTACAAATCTCTTTCATCCAGCCTTTATAACCAAATTAATGTTTCGACAAGTCAGTAAATATGGTATTTTTAGAAATCTGGCCCTTATTCTTTATACATGGAAGTCACTTTCAATCTTCAAATGGAATGGTAACACTAATGACCTATCGCTGGAGGACAATATCTGGAAACTATTCGAAATTTTTTAGAAATTGTAATTAAATGACTTATCACATTCTGATTTATCCTTGAGCAGATTTACCCCCATTTTTTCAACTTTCAGGGAATCTGAACTCATAACCAAACCATACTTTGGAAGAAATATATAGATAAATTTATTATTGGCTACGGTTAACCTCGATATTTTCGACATGACTATGATAACACTTATTGTAGAGACAATGCATGGATCGATCGATTTGAAGAAGCATAAGTTGTAGGGATAGGTATACTGACCAACTATACTTTCGAATCTACCTTGGGAATGTACCAGGTCTACGGTTCAACTTTGGAAATGATCATGCAGAGAATGGACCCCGGACTAGGTGCGTTCCAATAAGTCTTCCTACCAATATGACCATATTGCGAAAACAAGGTCAAACAACCTCTCTACTTTATAAGCTTTGGGATAACCATCAATGTATCGGTACTTAGCGAATAGCTAGCTATTGATAAAAGACCAAAATGAAGTGGCCTCAGGTTTGTTCGCTTTTTTATTTCAGCTGCATTGCTTTGGTTTGACTTCATTTTCGCAACTTGTTCAGAACGTTAAAGAGGCCTTGTGGAACGTACCTAGTCCTGCGTTCTTTGCTACAAGTCGGGATGCTTTCCAGCTTGGACCGTTGATTTGATACATTCCTAGACATTTCGCAGACATCTTTAGTGGGAGTTCTATGCCTTTCACAGACTCACAACGTATCAAAATTAATCAGTTTTATAAAGCATATTCACTTGATTTTTTCAGTCAACCTTCATCCACAGTTATAAAGCGTTATGCGAGATACAATTGTAACTTTTAATATCTGACTTCGCAGAGCACTGATCTCTTTGAAAATTCTGGTCAAGAACTACACGAATTAACAGGCTCCTCAATTTATAATGGAAGGTTTACTCATCACATGCCATCTTTCATCTGCACGCACTTTACATCCATTAGCCTCCTTACTTACTATCCTTGTATTGATTTCTGCATCTGATGGAGCTGCAAAAATACTAAGTTCTCAGGAGTTCTATGAAATCTTCTAATTAGAGACAAATGCTGTGACAACCTCATGTAACCTGCTGGCAGGGCAGTTTTTCCTGATAGACGCTTAAAATGACTTCTAACATCCAACTGGAGCTCTAGTGACGATAATAAATTCCGGTACACAAGATCATCGAGTTCTACCTCTATGCCCTGGGATAGACCTTGCATATGAGTCCCTAGCAACCCATCGGACACTTGAGAACTTTTATCTGGATTAAGCAGGTTTCGAAGCCACTAGTAAATGTCGAATAAGAGATCTATTCACTTGAAGCTGCATAGTATGATGAAGGCATAATGGATGAATTTCCAACAATCATATAAGTAGGCCTCACGAGGCCTACCGAAACTTTGGATTACCACTAGTTGTCCTATTATCACGATTTCGAGATTCCTTTCAATGTAAGAGGTCACGTTAATCTCCTTGGTCAGGATTAACTGCCCTAGTTACAATGCTACAAGAGGTTGTCAGAGACAGTTTATATCATTATAACATTTCCTATGCCCACTCATCTTATTGGGAAAATTCAACTACCATTCCTTCATCACCTTATGAGGCCTAGGGTAAATCCAGCTCTTGCTGATTATAACTTTACGATCCCTCATTTAACCAATATGACTTATAGAATACTGCCAATAGGCAATCCTACATAGTCTATATGGATGGAAGTAAAATTTGAGCTATTCTTGGTCTGATGGCACCATGAGACTTTTATACTAATGACTTCCAGCTCTGATGATTCCCATCCTCTGATGGACGAAAGCTCAGTTCATTTTCACTCGAAACCTGGGAAGATCTTACCGACTCCGTCGGCCTAAACGTCTTATTAGAATTAATTGGCTGAGATCAACCTTATAATCTCTTCTGCGTGTACTTTTATACGAAATGAAATTCTCCCCAAGGCTAATATCTTAGGCGATTAATCGGAACAGTCTTATTATTCGTATTATTTGTCAGTCCAGTCGATATCGATGAATAATAGAGCTGTAACCATTTGAGATTTTTCATTTATCTCGCAGAGACTTTTCTTTACTTGTGTTGTGAGATGCAATCTATCGATAATTAGTGAACCGACTTATTTTTGCGGCTGCATAACATTAGTTCTGAAGCTTTTATAGCTGTTCGCATTTTTATACAGCAAAAATTTCTATACAGGATAAGTCGTCAAGTGCTTACTTCTGCTTAAAGTATTGTTGGACTTGAACCTAACTACATTTTGAGTCCGTAACACTGACTTCCTCAGTAATCCATGCCTCATCCTGAAAATTTGTCCAATTCTTAGGATGTAATTGATTTTCACCTTTAATGTGACCATTGGTAACTGAAGTTAATGCATAGCTGATGTTTTCGTTGCATTTAGTCGGCTATATATATCCTCAATGAAAGCATGGCTCTTTTGCTCTTTCTTAGGTCGTAGCGATATATACTATTTTATTAAGTGTTTACTTTTTATTCTTACAATCTAATCTGGCTTACCACATATTTTGAGGACTCTTTTTTATTGGTTTAAAGCTTTTTATTTTTTGTCGTTTTTAATTTCTTACCCCTCGTGATCATTCATTTTAACCCACAGACCCTGCTTCTCCGATTCACGGTAATCGTTCTGCCTCAAACATATTATTCCAAATTACACCGGCATCCTCGATTCTGGAAACCACCAGTTCGAACACCGATCTTCGCAAGACGGTATCTGAGCCTAATCTGCGCAAGGTTTGCTTGCCATATGTTATACTTCTGGTCATTCTATTAAATATAGCTTATGCACAATTATCTAGCATTTTTCATTTATTTATAAAAGGTATTTATTATGATACATAGTGACCAGGTTTCGAAAATATTTTTAGTTCCTGAGTAGTTAGGGTGTCTGCAAACAAGTTTTACAGAGTATTATTTTTTAGGTATCTTTCCTTACTATTGAAAAGCTTTTATTATATACCTCATTGTTATGTCGTTGTTGCGAGCGAACATTTGAATATACTCTGACGACTAGAAATGAGGTTAAACTGAGCTTGAAGATTAAACTAAATAGCAAGTTGAGGTAGACCATATGCTCATCGCTATTCCAAATCTAATAGGATCATTACATTATTTGATGAACAAATAAGCAATAGTTTAGATGTACAAGAATCTACACCTTTTTATATTCATATCAAAGATCCTCCGAATGCATTGGCGCTCCATATTTTTAAAAATGATTATCGGTTGAGCCAATTATCTTCTTTTAATACCCCTACTTCGTACAGTTTTTTATTCGACCAACTATCTCATCGATATTTGCCTACTTAATTTATTTCTTTTCCTTATTATTCATTTATATATACGCTAATCGAAACTTAACTAATGCATCCAGTTACATCATCTACCTTATAAGTTTGAGTAGTAGTTTTAGCGCTTATGGTCAACACTTGAGAGTTCTGTCTCCACACGCACTCACTTGAGTGTATTTCCTCTTCTTCTGACAAATTTGGCTCATGTCTTGATTCATATCAACTTATAATTACTTACTGCCCATCTAGTATACCTTTATTGATCGTCATTCTTGTTCCTTTCTCACAACTTGACTTTTATAACGGCTTTTGCTTGTTTACTTTTACTTTTTCGCTTCATTTTTTCTTGATTCAATAGTTGTGATTTGGCAACCACAGAAGCCCCCATGAGTACTCATGGATCATCGGAAGTAGTCAATATCAAAAGCCGGATTTTCTTACTCATTTTACAGATAATCTTCTGTTGTATTAATCGGCCTTAAGTCTAAAAACTGTTTCTAGTATATTTTGATTTAAATTTTCATCTTTATGCTACTACCGTCTTTATTTAGTCTGCTTTTTTGAAGACGATGGGTAACTTTCGCTCATTTTATAATTTACTCTATCTTTGTTATTTCTTTTTCTCAAAGAACAACTTACGATCTCGTATTCAGACGAAGATTGCGTTTCGAAGACAGGTCAATCGGGACGCATGGGATGAAGCGACCACAGCCTCAAGTGTGCGTGAGGTAGTTGAAGAAGAGGAGGAGAATGACGACGATATGAATGAAGCCATTTTTGATACTGCTACACCCGTACGTCTCAACTCCTCTTCGGATGCTAGTTTTCTACAATCTTGCCAACATGGAGACCACCTATCCGAAGCTGCTGCAACTCTGACGGCTACTCTTCCTTCTAGTCGAGGAGTTAATCCTTCAATGAGAATCGCATACCAGCCGCAGGCGAAGTCACAAGCATTTCAGCCAGAACTGGTGCCACCTGGTTTCTCTGCTGATAATTTGTCAATTGAATCGCGAACCTTGGGATTTTCAACCATCCCCAACTCCATTAAAGCTTCTAGTTCTCGAGCCTCTCTTCAGCTGAGAGCTGGGCACCGGTTATTTGCTTCAGATGACGACCATTCGCTGCTATTATTGACACTTAATCGACAGCAACAACAACCTCAGGAGGAAGAGTACCAGCTGGGTTCTGATAGGCTCCTAAGGGCTGAGGCTTCGGGCTCCTCTGCGGCAAAACAGCCTCGTGTATCTGCTCCTCTCGTTTCTTCCACCAATGTCAGCTTGAAAGAACCTTCGGCACGCGTGAGGTCGCTTTTTGTTTATTTCATTCTTATTTTGAGAGCTTCCGCTTGAGATCGCAAGTTAAACTCCTGGCTCTTCCCTTACTCTGATTCTAGTTTCATTTGGCATTTCATTAAGAATTGGTGGCAATGTAAAATGACATGAAATTACATAATTATGCTGAAGGGGAATGATTCATGCAATAGTGGAGAAGACAAGCTGAAAAATTGGGAGGTCGTTTTTTTTATCTTTTGTAATGACTAGGTTTCGAGATCAGCAGCAATTCTTTTTAACATGGACGAAAACTCGGTTTAGAAGAATCCCCTAATGAGTTATTCTGACTTGATTTTCCATTTTGAAGGAAAATTTGGATGGAAGGAATTTGTGAATAGGATTTACCATAAATCAAAGAAGGACTTATGCGGACTGAAAACTGCTGTTTTGTGCGAAGGAGTCATCGGCTCACAGTCCTGTGACCCCAATCAACATGTCTGTATCAACATGATAGACATCATCAGAGCAACATTCCATACTTTACGAAATAGAGCAAACCTATACTAAACCAAGAGAAAGGGTGGCCAGCTGCGACTCTAGTCGCATTTTTATACACCTAACTTAGCGATCTTGTTGAAGCATCCCGTGATTTGGCATACTACTTCAAAGTTAGCCTACATGCTTGCAGATGAGTGGAGTTATTTTATGAACCGGAAGTGCGTTCTGGGGCAGGTGTTCCCTTACACAAACAAATAAACTAGCGTATGATCCTCGAATGTTGATTCTTGTTTTAGTGTGCTATTGTTTCTTGTCTGTATGTAATGTTAACATCACGAAAGGTATGCTAGTCCCAGCTAGACGCAAGGTCAATACAGCCTCCTCTTGTTCAGTGTCTCTTCCTGCACTACATCCCTCTTCCTCTCCTCAAGCCTATCCAACAATCACAAATAATTTCTACTTAGTTTTCTACACTCGTTCCTTCTATTCAGGACGTCGGCTGTTTTCTTAATTTCTATACACTCCCTAATCTTACGCCTTGACGTGAAGTCCCCGTAACTCGCAAAACGTGTTTTTGACCAGGCTATTGAGTGTCCTGTATTGACAAAATGTATTCAACGAGCTCTGATTTTTGGGCCCACAGACCTTTGCGAGCGGTTTTGTGTTCACATAGTCTCTTATGAATGGGTCGGCTGGTGTTCCCTACAGAGACTACACACAATCACACGAGCACAAAATCTTGTAGGGGCCTGATCTGGAAAGAGGTTATGAAAATTTCGAAATCAAGGCACGAACGATGTTATACTTCCTCGGAATCTATTTTTATATATTCTCCTTTATTTATTTGGCTATTTACTTAATCACTTGCTTGAGTATTGCTAGTCGGAGGTGCAATGTTCGCGTTTTATAACTTTAATTCTGGATCTACTCCATATTTTAATAGTTTATTCCATTAGTGATCTGAAGATGTAGCTAAATAATATT